ACACATCCAGTGTGATTTTTAAGCCACAGGGTCCAGGACTTGAACCATGGTCAACCCTGTGGGTGTCTAGCACTTTAACCACCATGCCATCAGCTGGCTCCTGCCCTGGCAATATACTTTCTTTAAATGGAAAGGGAAATGACTTGTTATTAAATACAAATTAGTAAAAGATAGTGTCTTCAATAACAATGTCCATTGCAAAAGAAGAAATATTACTTTTCTCAAGCCTTCGGCAGAGAGATTATGTTGCGCCAGCAGGACATGGAAGCTCCCTCTCCCCAGGATTTCCTCCTGCCTGTGGGTGCCCTTGGGCTGTTGCAGGGGACAGGGCGGGGCAACGAGGGAGGACAGTGGGCTGCTGAAGGGTCCCTAAGGCACCAAAGGCCCTGTACCCAACCCTTTGAGGCCCAGGCTCCGTCCTTGTGAAGTTTGCATGAGGCATTCTGGTGGGGGTGCTGGCTGGATGCTTTTGTGGCCTCCAAAGCCCTCCTCCTTCCCCTCCCCACAACTTGTGCTGCTTCCAGGCGTGAGGCCCACGCTGCTCTGAGCAGCCTCAGGACGCGCAGGTGGATCAACCACAGCACCCGGGCCGTGTCTGTGCACTTCACCCTCTACAACCCTCCCACTCGCCTCTTCACAAGGCTGACCCTGAGTGTGGAGATACTCCCCACGGGCAGCCTCGTCCCCTCGTCCCTGGTGGAGTCATTCAGCATCTTTCACAGCAACACCCCCCTGCGCTACTACCTGATACTTTCCCAGGTGAGTCCGCCTGCCTCTGGGACCTCCAGGAGGAGCACGGGGAGGTGGGGCTTTCTCCAAGCAGGGCACCTCCATCATGGGCTGGTCCCCACCCACTCACCCAGCCTCCATCCACGTGTCACATGGCAGGCATCACAGATGCTGTGCACAGCTGGAGACGACCCCAACGGGAGCCCATCATCGTAAAGTGCTGTGAGCAGACACGGGGCTGCCTCGTACAGATCCATCATGGGAGGATCATGACCCACAGCTGGATTTCCCCTGGGCCTTAGCTCAGGCTCCCACCACAGGGTACCACAGTCTGGGTGGCTCAAACAGTAGGCGTTTATCCCCCTCAGTTCTAGAGGCAGGAAGTCTATGAGCAAGGAGCCAGCCTCAGGTTCTGAGGGAGCCCTATGTGCTCACATGGCCTCAGTGTCAGCTCAGGGGAGACAGGAGCAAGCGCTATAGAGTCTCTTTCCATCAGGACACTGTTTTTACAGGATTGGGCTCCCAACCTATAACCTCATTTATCCTTAGAGGCCCCTTCTCAAAAACAACCAGACGGGGGTAAGGGCTTCAAGCTCTGCGTCTAGGGGAGATGAGGCCTCAGTCCACAGTCCAGGGGCCTTGGTGAGATGGAGTGCGTTCATGGAGCTTCATTGCACAATCAAAAATGCTAGGGGCCCTTCTGTGCTTCTCCTGGGGAAGCTGAGTTTTTGTTTGTGTTTAACCTTTCTAGTGTGAAGAACTAAGCCCCCTGCCGACACTCCAGGCCAAGCTTACTTTGCTTTGGGAGGGAAGAGAGGGCAAGTCCAAGGGGGTTTAGACTCTGGGACTATTGAGAGCACAGTAAAGGCTGAGACTGTGAATGGAACTCAGGGCTGTGCTGTGTGTGGGCGGAAGGGAGCAGGAGTGTGGCCAGAGGGAAGAAGGGGAAGCACTCACCTCAGGCACCAAATTAAAGGAGCGCCCAGAACCTCGGTAATCAACGTCAATAACGCTCTAGTGCAGTTTCTCCTTTGGCCTCGGACTGCATGCACCCAAGCAGAACACCGCTGCTTGATGCCACCCACCATTGACTGTCGACGAAACCCGGCTCTGAGTGTGTTTGTGGCCTCTTAGAGAAGCCCGGTGCACAGTGCGTACAGCTCCCAAGAAGACAGAGGAATACATGAAGCCCCTGCTAACACGCCTCACTTCTCATAAATTCATGATTAAATTAAAATTTGGGTTGGCGTATGAATGTGCGAAGGCATGAATGAACAGATAACCAATGCCGCTGAGCAAACCACTTAAAGAGAACTTTAAGGAAGTCCTTATACAGGAGCTTCGAAAGGGTTCACTTGGCCAAGGAAACACACACACATACATGTGCACACACGCATTTCTTATATTCCACATATATATGCATCTCATAAACCTTGCATACACATCAAACTCATTCTTTGAGCAACACCAAGGAGGGACAGGAGGGGCTTGCGTGGACGCCAGAGGACCCGATGGTGCTGTAGACACACTGGTTCCCACAAGGGCAGGCCCATCGTGGCTCTGGGCCTGGTGTGGAGTCGGGTATCTGTGAGTGCTTGATTATGTACAAAAGAGGCACCAAACTGCTTCAGGTACCTCCAAAGGATAGGGTTTTATCACAACTGCTGAGCAAGAATCTGGCTTCTATCATCTCTGTGTGGAGAATGATGTCAAGGGAACCCGCCATGGTTTAGACCTAAAAAAAGAAAGTATCCATATTTTCGTGTCAAGGGAACCCGCCATGGTTTAGACCTAACAAGGAAAGTATCCATATTTTCATTTCCCTCCTGTGTTTATATTCTCCCTGGTAGCTGGCCTTCCTGGTGCTCAACCTGGCCCACCTCTGGTTTCAACTCTACAACCTGATTGAGAAAGGAGGCCTCAACTACTGGCGAAAACCAAGAAACTGGCTGGAGGTAACTTCCCTTGTTTCATTTTCTTTGTGAAAAATAGCAATAAAGTGTTTTTATCTGCAAACAAAAACATGTAATGGGAAGTCAGTTATGCACTAGCTATTCGCAAGGTTATTACAGTTTTCTCCTTCTGTACTAAAGCCACAAAAGCATTTGAGATCAAGTGTCTCTTCCAGTGTTTACAGGTCTTACACAGCCCAGGTCACGGGGACACCAGGTAAGCTCTGGCTCAGGCCAGACTGAGCATCCCTGTCTCCCCATGGCAGCTCTCTGTGGCAGGAGTGGGCCTCACCTACCATGCAGCCTGTGGCCACCTTGCTACTCTGGCCGGGGGCATCGCTGACCAGTTCCGCCAAGGGCTTTGCCAAGCGTCTTTGGACCTCAGCCTGGTGGCAACATGGAATCAGGTACAGTGGTGGCCTCAGGGCTGCACACACAGGGCCTTGGGTGGGATGCTACCCGGAAGGCAGTGGTCACCCAAGTTCTAGAAGACCTGAGACTGTGGATTGTCCATGTCAAGCGATAATGCACTGAGCTTGCTCTCGGATGGGGTGGCCAGGACACAGAGGACCTGGAGCACTAGGACATGCTGGGCAAGCTCGGGATCGTAGATTCTGACCCGGAGCAAATTCAGGGGCCTGGGATACCTCCACCACTTTTGCAGGACCCTAAATTGTGTAAGGAAGCAGGTGTTAATGCAGCATGACGGCAGGGAGCTGGATGCATCTGTTCTCTCTCTCTCCCTCTCTCTCTCTCTCTCTCTCTCTCTCTCTCCATCCTGGGATCCTGGGACAGTGCTACATGCACATGGTGCAGCCGCTTTCTAGTGAAGACCCTGAGGCTCAGGGAAGGGCCAGGTCCTACAACGGGGAGAAGTACAGCCTCAAAGTCTCTGTGCCTCAGTTCCCCCCAGGAAGCCCTTCCTGCAGGGAATGGGCCTTAGAGGACAGCAGCTGCCACTGAGGGGACCAGGCAGATGTGTACAGGCCAGCCCTGGGGAAGGATCCTCTGGGGAAGCCTCCTGCTGGGACACAGCCTCTGTGCTGGGGGATGTGTGGAAGCTGAATCCACATATTGGACTGCCTGCTATCTGCACAGATCTCCAGGGTCCTCCATTATCCTCCCATGTGAAAGGCAGTCAGGGCCCCAGAGTCACCCCCTCACCAAGTGACCTTGCACCTCCATGCTGGGTGGGTCCCGGAACTACTGAGGAGGGTGGAGACCAGCTGACCTCCAGCCTCAGGCCCTCATCACCCAGCCCCATCCGTCTTCCCTTACCTCCCTCTTGCTCCTCTGTGATCCAGCTCCACATGTCTCTCTTATCTGCCATGTGGGGAGACCCGGGTGGGCTCAGGCTGGTCGTCCTCTACCTTTCTACCTCCTTCACCAGAACCCCAGTCCTTGTTTCTGGCTAAGTGTTGGCGATTGTTCTGTTGCGAGCAACAGAAACCTACTAGCTCAGGGAAAGAAATGAACTTTGAAGAAGCCCAAGCAAGTGAAATCCCAAATTTTCTTCTGAAGAAAAGGCATGCAAAATATCTTCTTTTTGCTGACCTGGCCCTGTAGCCTGGTGGTTAAGGTTAACCAGATCCTACATGGCCAGTTATGATTCAAATTCTAGCCCCCAGCAACTTGGAAAACACACAGGGCACATGTGCATGAATTTCTAAAATCACAGTAGGTGGAAGAAATGGAGGAGGAGGGATTGTAGTGTGACCACATCCTATTGGGGGGGTGGTTTCTCCCCAACCCCTGACTCTACGGCAAGCACACACACCCTCTGGCAATGAAGATAGATAGATAGATGATAGATAGACAGATAGATAGATAGATAGATAGATAGATAGATAGATAGATGATAGACCGACCGACCTTCCTTTTGCAAATATTACTGGAACTAAAACCTCATGAATACACCCCCTGGGCCCTCCTGCCATGGCCTTGAAACTAGGCTTCACATGCATTCACCTTGAGTACATCAGGGTCTCGCTGGCCCTGAGGCTGGGCACAGATCAGGCAGACATGCACCCCTCCCATGCCTCTTCAAGTCTTCATAAAACATCCCCCTCCTCCAGCCTCCATCCCCCTCTTCCTGCCCTGGCTCCATGCAGTATGACGCACCTACCAACAGCTGTTTGCATTCACTGATTTGGATATTGTTTGTCTTCCCCACAAGGCTGGAAGCTCTCGGAGAGAGGGTTTCATATAGTGTGTTTCCCCAGCGGCAATACCGTGTCCTGATGGGAGGACTGCTCTACGTTCTTGGCCTCTCTGGGGCAGACAGCAGGCTTTCTGGTCTGCCTCTCACTGCCTGTCTGTGCTAGGCTCCCTCTTCCCACTAGCTGGATGGTGGCTTACTGGCCTCTACTGCCCCCTAGCTGTGGCCACACCCTGTTCATCTGGCTTGACTGTAAGGCCGGCCTGGCCTTGCCTGGCCTGTGCTCAGAGGCCCACAGGTGGTAGCTAGCTTTCTCTCTCTTAGATGGGACCATCCAATTAGTCATTAGTAGGTCATGGATGCAGGCTTCAGGAAGGGAGGACACAGTGAAACGCTTTGGACAGTGCTCTCTCACCTGCCTGGGCAGGGGAGGTTTTCCAGAAGGAGCATGGTCATGGCCCCGGATCAGGTCTGCTCACCCGTCTGATGGCTCAGTGAGCGCTCGGCCCTCCTTACTCCTGGCCTTCGGAAATGAGATTGCCTTCCATATCCTTTTCCCCACCAATGTTTTTCTTTCTCATCACATTCCCTGTCCTTGCCAAAGGGAGATTCCCTCTTTTCCTGGAGATTCTGTCCAGGCCAGATGCCAATACCCAGTTCTTCAACTGCTTCTGCATAAGCCCTGACAGATATTAAGGTTTCCTCCTACCAAGCACCATCTACCTTCTGAATCTTCCTGTGCATGCTAAAGTGCACTGCATCTACTGAAAAAGGCATCCGCATCTGCCCATTTCACAAATGACTAACGGTGCTCTGAGAGGCGAAGTGACTTACTCAAGGTCCCATGTCCAGTTAGAAGCAGAGCTGGGATTGGCCTCTGGTCTCTAAGAAGCCAGGTTCCTAGCACTGAGCTACAATGCATGGAAGGGAAGGGTCCTGGGGGACACTGTCCACACTTGAGCTGAGAATTGCTCATGGCAGAGGCCTGTGGCTTAAACCATTTGTATTTGCTGCTGTGTTGTTGTGTGTTCAGGGCCAGTCTTAGGAAAGGTGTAGTGTAGACAACGGCTATCCCCAGGGTATCTTTGTATGCCTGTCTCTGTGCAGGTACCTCAGACTCTGCACACACTGTAACTCTGTCCCGACTCCACTTTTGTGGGTGCTCCTGTGTGTTTTGTTAGACTAACCACTGTAGAGAATTGAAGAGACTTTGTCTAGCTTCAGTTTAAGCTATGTGAAGGTGCTGGGAGAACGAGACATCTACAAGTCTAAAATTGTTTTTGTTGCCTTTTTTTTCTTCCTTTTTTTTTTTTTTAATTGCTAAAGGTCATGTGTGCTCACCAGAGAGAGACAGAGAGAGAGAGAACACCCCCAGAGGGGTATGGTCAATCACAATCCTTCTTCCTCCATCTTTTCCTCCCATCAGGATTCCAGGCATGCATGCACATTTACCTAACATGTTTCTCAAGCTTCTAGGGCTGGGACTTGAACCATGATCAGCCATGTGGGATTCAGCTGCTAAGCACAGCATTTGACCACTGCCCTAAGCGATCTTTTCTAACAATGTGATTTAGCACCCAGGATGAAAGAGCTGTGATTTAAGTGCACAGAGGTAGAAACGCACAGATCTGAGAATCAGCAGACCTGAGCCCCAGGCCTGGCCCCTCTTATCCGTGTGTCTTTGGGCAAGTTACTTACTGTTTCCAAGTCTTAGTAAAGTAATGCCATGGTACAAAACTTGCGAGTTTTGCTAGGATTCCTGTGTGCATGTGTGTGTGCGTACTTGAACATACACATACATATATATTCATGTACCTCAGACACAGAGCTTGGCATGTGGTGGTGGACATCCTATAACTGAAAATAACAACAATGACAGTAACTAAAAAACCTTTATGGCACCCCTCCAGGCAGATGTGGGTGAGAAAGGGGTTCCTTCCACACTGTCCACAGGGAGTTCACACCTGTGCTCTCCAGCTGGGCAGCTGCTAACCCCAGAAGGCCATGAGAGCTTGAAAAGCCTGAAAAGTGGCTTGAAAAGTGGATGGCCCACATCGAGCTGTACTGCAAGCATGAAATACTCACTTGACATCATACACTTAGTATGAGAGTTAAGACATCTTAATAACATCTGTGTTGATTACACATCAGAATGGTGGTATTTGAAATATATTGGGTTTATAAAATATATTATAAAATAAGTTTCCCCTGTTTAATGTTACTTTCCAAAATGTGACACCTAGAAAATTTGAAATTTCACCCATAACTCGCACCATATTTCTCTTGGCCAGCTGTGCCTGGAGTGGGTTCACAGCCGTGCCTGCCTGCTCTGAAGGGACCCAGAGGTGTGACAGTCACAGCTTGCCTGGGCTTTGGTTGTTAGAAGTTATTTTGACCTTGTACTAATAATGAGGAAACAAAATAACTGAACAAAAAGACTTGATCCTTTGCCCATGTAAAGTTTTAAACATTCAGTTTTCATTTTTATTTTCTTCAACGTATTACACTATTGGTGAGACAGATGAGATTACCCATTCAAAACTACTTTCCAATGAACCTCTTGCAGGAAGGTGAGCTGCCTCAGAGGCCTCACGGGGTGTGGACGAGTGTGCTGGGCATGGAGTCTAGGTTTGACCTGGCTCTGCCTGGGTTCCAGCTGTGTGGCTTTTGTCTGATCACCTCATTTATCTGACACATATTCCAGAGCTACAAGATGGAAGTGCTTAAGAGTTGGTAACATGTAACTTATTGTGTGCATGATGGGAAAGTTTTTTTAGAATCAAAATGGAATAATGCATGCCAACCCTGACTAAACCAAGCCCAGGAAGGCCATGAAGGAGATGTTTCCTCATACTGAATTGTCTGTTAACAAGAACTGCTCATTGGAGAGCTCTGCCAGAACCACAGTCTGGCACAAAGACCACTGCATCAGACACAAGGACTGCTTCCATAAGGACAGCCTCCCAGAGACTTCCTGTCCAAATCTGGGCCGACGCTGTCCTTGCTACGGATCCTGGTAGCCGAGGATAATTGTCCCAAAGCAGCTGGTGTAAGCTCTTTCCCCTCTCACTTGTCTTTGCCTTTGAAATCTGCTTGAGGATTTAGGACCACAGTGAGCACATTCCGGGCCGCAGGAATATTGCTCATCTGGGCTGTATGCTGGCTGTAGTCATTACGCTTAAGCTCAGATAAATTCCTGGTCCCCTCCTGGACATACCTTGACTCAGTTTACCCTTTCTAGGTGGACAATAGAAAGGAAGGGAAGAGACTAGCATCCATGGGATATTTTCTTTGTGCTAGTGATTTTCTTACAGAACAGTAGACTGAGGTTCAGACGGTGACAAAGGCTAGAACTTCCCTGTCCTGATTTTTATAAAACTTATTTATTCTCCCATGAGTGAGGGAAATAGTGAAAAGGTAAGAGGCACCCCCAGAAGAGTTGCCACCTCACAGTACCAGCAGGCCCAGATCACAGACACATGCACGCTCAGCATAGTTTGGGAGGTCTCAGGACACAGAGCCAGGCCCCTTCCTATGTGGGCCCAGTCGCATTACCATGGTCACCACCTGGCCCCTGTCCGGATCTTTATAGAATGGCAGAATTCAGCCCTGGCCTATCTGAAAACGCACTGTAATTATATGTACTTATATCCCTTCTCCTCTAGTCTCCTCCTGGGATTTTGGGCACTCACACACACACATGCAGCTGGTGTGATTTTCAAGCCTCCTGGTCCAGGGCTTGGACTGCAGTTGGCCACATGGGAGTCAGGCCACTTTAGCCACCACGCCACCTGCTGACTTTGTAATTTGTTCGTATCCCTGGCTCCAGCTCATCTTCCTCCACAAACATATGTACTTAATGTCCCTGGGAGAGTCAAGGTCTGTGTGACTCCATGAAACCCAACAAAGACTCCATACATGGTGTGTGGGCACAGCTGTCGGGCACCCCTTCTTATCATCGGTATAGCACTCTAACTGGCTACGCTCTTCTGTCTCAGAGGGTGCAGTGGCTCCAGGGAATCCTCACCTTCCTCTTGGCATTAAAATGCATTTATCTTCTTGGCCTTCAAAAAACAATGGTGTCCTGCTCTTCCACGAGGCATCGCTTGCCCACCAGCATCATCGCACCAGGGGTAAGAATGCTCCCCTTTCTCAAGTGAATTTCCCATAAACCATCACATGGGGAGCTCTCGTCAGCCTTTCTCCAGGGGGAGACCTCTCCCAAGATGGGGCAGTGCCTGGAGTCCCAGCCCTGGAGCCCCTTGTGGCTGGCCTGAATAACGGCAGTCAGCAGCTGTGTAGTAAGTAGTGGCCGCGAGGCGGTAGCCGGGATTGACTGAGTTCTTGCGCAGTAGTGTACTTCCCATGGCGTGTTGTTACTGATGTGAGCAGTCATTATCCCCTGCTGAGTCTCTGAGTGTCAGGGTACTGCATGGGGCCCCTCGCTTCATTATCACAGCCAGGCTGCTAGCAGGCAGGGTCTTCCCGGGAAGGAATAGGCCTTGGGGCCATGGCTCTACGTAGGTGCTAAGTCACACCATACAGGCCCTCTTATTTCACTTTTTATTTTTTTGCTTCTGGCCCTGCACCCGGTGGTTTCCTGCTCCTATGCTGGCACTCACGTCAGTGTCATTGACCACTCATGAATCACGCTTCAGCTGAACTCTGAGGAAAGAAATACAATTGAGGGCCAGCAGGTGGCATGGTGGTTAAGGCACTGGACTCCCACAAAGCAGACTACAGTTCAAGATCTAGACCCAGTGTCTTGAAAATCACATTGGACGCATGTGTGTGCATCCCCAGAGGAGGATGAAGGAGAAGGAATTGCAGCATGGCCATCCTCCTATCTCTCTCTGTCCCTTTCTGATAAGCGAGCATGGCCCTGAAGTTGGGTCTGCTGGGAGGAGCCCGTGATCCAAAGGGCCAGAGTGCAGCCTGAAAAAGTGCTTGCTCCAGCCTCATTGAGCATGGCTTCCTCCTTGCAACAGCACAGAAGTGTGGTGAGCGCTGAGGGGTGCTAGGCCAAGCAACTGAATTTGGGGACTCTGGCTTTCAGGAGTCCGGCTCATGAAACCTTGGGGACTGAGCACAGGCCTCCCTGCTCACCTCCCGTGTGGA